ACAGCCTTAGAGCAAACCCTGTAAAGTCACCCTCTAAACTGGAAGGGCTTCGCAGATTCAACCATGTTCACGGGAGTTTCGAGTTCAGCAGCCCTGCCGAACCTGGGGCCTAGGCACAGGCTGTACCCTTTTGCATCTGGTTTGCAGGCTGTACCCTAAACCCCTTAACCCTAAACCCAACGAACGAAGAACCCAGTCACACCAGCTGCGCGCGAGAGGGTGCGACCTAAATCGTGGAACAGGAACTGTTCAGGGTAGGTGAAGTCGTTCATAACAAGATTGAGGACTTATAGTAGTATGGTACTATAGTCGTCGTTACCGAGTTATAAACAGAGTACAGAAATGCAGTGCCGAATAGTATAGCATATCAGTTCTGTCTCGCATTCGGCATTCGCCACTGGGTTTGCGACACAATCGTTTCGGCTTGAACGAACAAGAACTGACTTTGGCGATTGTCTTGGGAATCTTTTGAGCTTGAATGTTCAGGGATTGAGGGATATTTTTGGGGTTCAGAGCTCAGGGAAGGGATTTTTCATGAGGCTTAAGCTTTGGGGTGTGAGAGTTGTGCGGCGAGTGGACATGTTCCGGAAGGCCCCCCAAACTGAGCAGCACTTTGAAACAGAGAAACACATAGTCGATGCTTCCATGTATGTATTGCCTCTGCCTTCACTGTCCGACTTGAGCCTCTCAAGCATGGGATGCAATCCCGATCCCCGTTGAAAAACATTTGTGCACCAGGACTCGTTCAATCGCCTCAAGGTCTGAGCTAACGGATGTTCAGCTCTCATGACTGCACTTCCATACCTTCCTCAAGAAACTCGCGGGGAAAACACCGACCCATCAATCCCACATCACTGTCAAGGATAAGCAAGAAGCCAACATGCGGCAGCTCCAAAGGGGTGTACGAGTTGAACCTAGTTTCCGGCATATGCTATCACATCGCCAGGAGCACGGGACGGTATTCTTTCGGAACACGAAAGACGGTAGCTGCTCGGCAGCTGGAGAAGGCTATTATTCTGGCCGAACTAAGACAAAACATACACCATTTACCACCGAAACTAAAGCCGCCGAAGGCATTAAGCTGCAACCGGGCTGGCATCGACAACCTCGATTTCGGACGGCTGCTCTGGCGCCTGCTGAAGCAACAAGTCCGTGTCAGGTTCCTTCTGCTGGGATGCTCGTCTCTTGCTCAGGGCATGGGAGCTACTCTCGACTTGGGGACCATCCTCCACAGTACTGTAATGTAGGGGCCTTAATTTTTACAATAGGCTTTTGTGGAATATATTATACTTTATAATTATAATAAGGAACCCCCAAAAAATTATAGGTAATTATTGAGGCCCTACATTATGAAGTTTCGCGCTTAGGGTCCCAGCATTCTCCGCTGTCTAACAGTTCTCACAGGCACATCGACATGCTGCTTGCAGATCTGCCGCAAAGGTCTTGGACCCTTAATTGCGGAGAGCACGCATAAGAGCTCAGGCTGCTTGTAGGAACAGTAGCGGTAGGAGTAGGAGTCGGAGTAGGGGTCGCAGCAGCAGCAGCAACAGCAGCAGCAGCAGCAGCAGCAGCAGCAGCAGCAGCAGCAGCAGCAGGAGCAGCAGTAGCAGTAGCAGTAGCAGTAGCAGTAGCAACAGCAGTAGCAGTAGCAGCATCAGTCGTGGTGGTGGTGGTGGTTTTAAGCGTTGCAGAAGCCAGCCTCCAACTCCTCGGGCACGGGCGCCAAGTCCAGGGCGGAATTTGCCAAGGCCTCCGGACCGCCAAATAGCTGTTGAGGGTGTCGAAGCCCACTCCCGGACATGACGTCGAGGGTTCAGGGCCTAGGAATGCCTAGGGCTTGTGCAAACTTGGTGACACTCTCAGAGGTCGTGGCGAAGTCGGGTTGGTACTGATCGCGGGTTCGCGCGTCAGAGGTGCCATTACAAGTATGGCCGGTCAACTGCGACCAGCCTCAAGTCGAAAGACATTCTGAAACAGGGATTGGACAGGCAGATATGTCCGGCAGCAACTTCATGGCGGAGTGTGCCGGTAATCACGGACACTGCCTCTCACTCTTTCCAGGCTTGCAATTCAACCAGCTGCCCCTTAGGGCCCTGCAAATCCTAAGCCCGGGACTACACTCAATCTGAACAGCAATGCATCCGTGCTCCCTTTCGCCCATATGGCTCTCACGCACCTGGACACGTGGGCCAGTGCTGCGCTTGCTTCGAAGAGCCAAGCCTGCCGTTCGCTCTCTCTCTCTCTCTCTCTCCCTCTCTCGCTCTCCCTCTGTCTCTCGCTGTTCTCGCCGTCGCATCTAGAGCCAGGCAACGCATGCAATTGTAGTGAAATGCTTTGGGACATCCCACCTCAACTTCTGAAATGCGTAGCAGAGACCCACGTCGACTCGAGCAAGCTGCACTGAAAGGCCCCACAATGTTGAGTCTACTTGAAGATCCCAATCCGCGACTTACCTACGCTCAGGAAGAGGAGAGCAGGCCCTTGTCTGGGAACACCACAGGATGTCACTCCGGGAGTTGCGCTTCGCGGGCCCTAAACCGCCCACACCCCATATTAAAATATGTGCCCTCCGCCCTGCAAACCCTAGAAGCCCGTAGCAGTGTAATCCTAAACCCTACCATCAAACATAAACCCTGATGATGCGACGAGTCGTCTCGCCCAAATCAGCTGCACAAGGCGGCCTGCTAAAGCGCACGCCTCGTGACAAACAGAGACCGAGCATTATCTGATAATGAAATATCGCCACCTTAATCTTTGGGTTGGTTTGGGGATCTATTGTACACGTTAATTATAAAACCAGGGTGACGAACCGTAGGAATGATCTAAAGTGCATATTATATGACTATTATGAATGGCCCGCATGCTATTGTTTAGGCTTCATGGCCGCTGCAGCATGGAGTTGCAAAGCATTTTTGGATAAGGTTGTGGTTCGGGGTGGGGTTGTGTGGCTTCAAACTGGCAGCGGAGCATCTCATGTTACTACAGGCTCACGTCTGAGAAGAGCCTCAACAAAAACGTGCACAACTCTCAGACTGAAACCTTGCTTAAAGGCCGAACTTATTACTTAAAGCGGGATTCGCAATTTTCTCGCAGATGCGGGTAGCGGCCATCTACATTGGCTGTCGGAATAGGACCCAACTCCATCACTGAATCGAGCCAGCAACCCCAACTACAACTTAAACGCAACATGCGGCGTTCTGTCTGAAAAGCCTGCAAAGAAGCCTGGAACTGAGTTCCGGTACAAGCTGAGTGCAACCTGCACCCCAAGTAATGAGTCAAAGCGATTCAGTCCAAACCAGACCCTCGGACCTAGACTAGAGCCTGAAATGCCTGGCCTCATGCTGAGGTCTGGCCGCAAATGGACGGGTTTCATCTATATACCAAGGAACACATATGGGAGTTTCCGAAAGTTCGGGATACCTTATTTTGGGGTCCTTATGATAAGGGTCCTACTATTTAGGGCACTATAGTAGGGTCCCCTATTTTCGGAAACTCCCATATAGAACCCTTGTTGTGCTCGCAACCCACTGTCACCCATCCACGCACCCCGGTTCCCTTCATCCGCCCTTCGGATTCGGAGTAGCTCTGACTTGACCCAATAAGTGTCAAGCCCGTCAACTACCATTCACAGAGGCCCGAAACCCCTAGCTACAACCAAACGCATCTATCCGTATTACTCTCTGATTGGTGTTAGTCTCATGATGCCTGTAGTCACCGTGAACACTGCGAGTCCTGTAAACGTCCAGCACCCATCCCAACAGTTACCTGCGGCGCAGCCCCCCAAAACCAAACAGCTAATCCTTGAGCTTTAAACCCTCTAGTTAAACTCAAAGCCCCTAAGCCTCAGGCCCTAGCCCCAGGGTGCCCGAAAGGAGGAAACCAAAACACCACAAAAAATAGCTTTTCCAGGGTGCCAGAACTCCCACCGAGGCGGTCCATCCGAGGCCGCTTGGCGCCCGCTCGATCGTCTGCTGCCCACGGGGGAGGACCTGCCCAAAAGCAAGTCCAACACAGGGTTTGGGGGATGAGACGCTTTAGGGTTTAGTTGTATCTGGTTTTGAGTGTTGAAGGTTAGCAGTTACATGGGTGGTTGTCAAAAATATGATCCCTTTTTGGGTCCTTATTATAATACGGCACCTATTATTTAGGGTACCCCAAAAGGGACCATAATTTTGACAACTACCCACATGGCTTCCAGGCTGCTTGTAAGGACATGTTTGGAAGTTCGCGGCTTCGGGCTTCGATTGAGGGCTGCCGCTGTCGGATCGCGCAAGGCCTTCAGAGCTAGCAAGAATTCAACCTACATTGGTGACAAAAGCTAAGTCTAAACCTTCTTCAGCACCCTAGACCCTGGCTAAAACTGATTTCAGACATGGGAGTTCGTCATCTTCGGCTGCCCGACTTTCAACTGGATGTGGCTCAATGTTTTTTTTTGAACGACCCTCTTTCCATCCTGCAGCAGTCTGAAAAGCGGTAATTCCGCTGGGCTCAATGGGTTTAGGGTTGAGGTTCAGGTTAAGGGTCCTGGCAAGTGGCTTATGGAATGTGTAGGCATAGGCATAGACAGGCTCCTCTGTTATCGCGATTCAAGCATGGAAGCGCTCGGTTCGGGCATGGATGCTCTTCTCGACAGATGCACCTAAACTTGGCCATGGTGGTCCCACATTGAGAGTCGAGCCTGCGAAGTTTCGAGCTCGGACTCGTGACGCTCCCCATCCCATAACCTTAAGTTTAGGGTTTAGGGTTTAGGGTTTAGGGTTTAGGGTTTAGGGGTTTAGGGTTTAGGGCCTTCACATTAAACGCCATTGAGTTGACCTTTGTCGCAAGACTAAGTACTAGGACCCCCGGACTCCTGAAATCAAGCCCACCGTAAGCCCCGATTCCATTTCCAAAACCACCCGTCCTGATTTCGTGGGGGCAGCTTTAATAGCTTGGAGTAGCTTCTGAATTCGGAAGACGGCAAGGTCCGGTAAGTCCCATCCACTCGGTTCTTTTGACCATTAGCGTGAGGCTAACCCCTGGCTCGGATCGGATTGGCCAGTGCAGCTGGAAGGGCACCCGATTTTGGGTGTGTCTTCGCAGCCACAGGTGAAAGGGCAAATCGTAGTCAAAGGCTTGAACAATGTCGTGAGGCCCTCACCTCATTTCTCGGATTGAGGTTCGGGGTCATTCGGGTTCCGGTTGCCTGCTGCATCGCCTGGGCTTGATTTGACTTCAAAGGCTTCTTCTTATTGTTGTTGTTGTTGCTGCTGCCATCGTCGTTCTGGATATTTGTCGTTGATGATATTGTGATGGACGGGAAGTGCCCGAGGGCAGCCAAAGGGGCTACCTTTTGAATTTGGCTTGTAGGGAAATTTCAGCCTCCCACTGTTTTTTTTAAAGTGCGTTTCTAGACGACACGGGAAAAACGCAGAGAGGAAGGAGCACTGCACTGAAAAAGCTATGCTTTAGGGTTTGGGGTTTAGGGTCTAGGGTTTAGAATTTAGACACTAGGGCCTAGGGTTCAGGGTTTAGGGTTTAGGGCATGCCAAGTCACAGAAATGAGCACTGGTCAGCGAATCAAAGGGAGCGATTCTCAGGTATGAACAGCCTTGAGACAACATTCCCTGCATGGTCCTTTTCAGATCTGGCCATAGGACGGTCCGCTCTATGGGCTGCCCATAGAAAGCCGACACGGCATCCGGATACGAATTCCAAAACATTTCCCAGCTCCGGTTCGCCTCGCTGTCCACGCAAGGGATGTCCCTTCCATTCCAGTTCGCCTCAATAAGGCATGAAGTACTGCAGCCTTGTGCCTCGACTTTGTACCATGGGTTAGAGACGGGATCGGTGCAGCCACAGGTCTCGCCACAAACGAGACGCAGCAAGCTGGCCTCCGCGTGGTCGCAGAAGTCACTGAGCTCCTGGCAGCTTGAAACCATCTCCCGGCCGAGAGCTAGACCCGCTGTCCTCAGCATAACATCCACCAGTGGCCGCAGCGCCGGATCGTTGTGCAAAAGAGCACCCTCATTGAGCACCAAGGTTTCCATGCAGAGTGGGAATTGTCTGGCTTTTTCAAGCATAGAACGCTCGGCGTCCGCTCCGAAAACTCTTCGATTCACTGAGAAGCTGATGTAGTCGGGTACCTGACCGGGAGTAGTCTCTGGCGAGTTGCCGATGTGAGATCTAACAGCCAGCTCGATTGCTGACAGATTGCTCTCCCCTTCTTCAGCCGGCAGTCTTGTGGTCAAGCCAATGATTTCCTGCGTCTCGCGATTGTACGAGACCACAAAGGTTCGATTGCCACCGCAGAGCTCATTTTTCACCGTCTGCATGGTGTTGGACAGAGGAACCAGCAAGAGGGTGTATGACAAGAGCACCGTCGTCAGGATCAGGCTGACGTGCACCAAAGTCTCACACTGGCTTCGGCGACGGCTGTACCGCACCTGTATGGGTTCCAAGCTCTGCACAGCATGCTGGACCTTAATGGGTGTCATGCCCGCAAAGAGGAACTCGTCAACGTCCAAAATGGCGTTCAAGGCGACCGCATTCAGCATCAGCTCCTCAATCGAAGTTGTCCGGGCCAGCCAGAGAATTCCAGCCACTAGGAGCACCGAAGCAATAGATGCTCTTGCCTTGGCTGGCACGACAAGCACTTTCTGGCACAAAGTTCGTAGCCTCTGAACCCGAAAATCGGTCGACCCCAATCGACACCCTGACCCGAAAAACTCTTCCCTAAACCAAGGACCCCAAACCCTAAAGCCTACATTACACCGCCCAGCCCTTTGTCGAGCAGGGACTACAATGCACTAGGCCTTAAACCGACAAGCCCTAAATAAAGTCCCTGCGGAGAAAGCTGGCCAGGTAAACCCGAGACCCTAAAGCCGCAAACCCTCAAAGCTCCGGGCAGAAAGGCGGTCAGGTAAACCCTAAACAACCTTTTTTGTGCGTCCGGGCTTGGGTAGTCGGCCGGGGAAAGTGACAAAAACAACGGCATCGCGCCAAGCCGTCGAACTACTGGCTACAGTTCATGATCTTACGGACTGACGATTGCAACTGTAAGTACAATGTGAAAGTCCTCCAAGAGTGTCAGGTGCATACATTGCAAAGGACGATAGTAGAACTTCGTGACGCTCAGCAGTGACTGCGAACACCATGGCAAAGACAGATCGTTGCATCCTGAAGTGCTGCCACTGCAGGAAATGCCAGAAACAACCCTAAACCCTAAAAGCCCTGTGCAGAAAGGTGGCTAGGTAAGTCACGAGCAGCATCGCGTAGCGGCCACAGGAGATGCTGGTGATCTTCTGATTCTTCAAGATTGTTCCTCGGCTTATGGTGCAGGGTTGAGGGCTTATGGGATTTAGGGCTTGTTTAGGGCTTGTATGGACTCTCGCGACTCGGACAATGCAGGCGAGGATGATCCAGGCGCGAAGGCGAGCATTTGCGGCTCAACATTACGGCTTATAGGGTTTACAGAGTTCAGGGTGCACCACAAGCTTAGGGCATAATAATACGGCCCAAGACGCTTCCAGGTTCGCAGGCGTTCGAGGTACGGGTTTGAGTTGAAGACAACTGCTGCTATTCATCCTGCTTTCCCAACAACAAATCTCAAGTCTCGAGTACTGTGAGACCGCAAAATCTGGCGAAGCCCGATCACCTAAACCCAGAAGTTCGGATTTCTTACAAGACCGGAGGCCTTGGGGCTCTTTGGGGGATTCAACCGGTTTCATCTTGAGGTAGCGTCACGCACTCTTGGCTTACCTGAGAGGCTCCTTTTCTGCGGCAGCTGGGTTCCTCCTCTCGGCTCTAGCTGCGAATTCTGCGGGGTGCTTCCTGGATTTGAGGTTAGGACTTGTGTGGTCGGAGCTTGCGAGGCCAAGGTTCTGCGTGCCTTCGGAATTTGCAATGTTGCTTCGAGGGATAGCCATACTCGGCGTATCTCCTGTCGACAGCCATGGGTAGGTGTTGGAAACATCCTGCGACAATCGAATTCTAGATCTGCTCCTCTCAGGTTCTCAGCCCCTACGCTGCCCGCAGATCTCACTATCTTTTCAAACCCCCGACGGTAACATCACGCCTTCCACCCAGCCCTAACGAAGGAGTGTAAGCCGGAAGCTCGCTAGAGCCGGTCCTTGTAGACGCACAAGCTCCAGAGGAGAATGCATAGCACGCAGAGCATTACTCCAATCTGAAAGACCGGGGGCTCCAAATCATCCTTTCCCAGTGCCAGGAACTTGTTGATCCTTGGACAGGCTAGACTTACAACCACAGTGCTGCTCGTTTTTGCAAACAATGATAGATGACTTCCATCCCGCAATGGCAGTGCTTTACAACGAAGGTGGGTGCTTTCAAGTCCAAAACTGCATCTCAGCCCTGATACACCACGATCGTAGCAAATGATAACTGATGGAAGTTGAAGTTCTCCCGACGAAACAAGATAGAACATCAAGCAGGTGCGGAAAGCACATAATACGTGCAAACTCGAAAGCGTGCTTGGGCTTGTTTCTGCGGCAGCATGCGCTACGAAGGGGGGGCCGAACGGAATCGCATCTGAGGTACTCCTCGATGAGGGTCGCCTGCTGCAATGCAACTGCCAGCCCTGAAGAATCCCAACTCCCCTACACACCCCGAAACCATGTAGACCTCCCGTCCACCACACTAGACTTGACTACTAAAGGCGTCTATGGCCCTAAACCCTAAACCCTGAAGGTGCTGCAGTGCTGCAGTACAGGCTGATCAGGCGTTTAAAATAGGGCATTTGTGATTCGGACTCTGCTTGGGTTGTCTCAAAAGCTCTCGATGCACCCTGCCCTTTTGTGACGTTTCCCGGAACACACATACATGTCGAAGGCTGAAGCATCACCAACACGATATTCCCTATAGGATTCCTACTATAGCTCCAGGATAATATACACCAAAACCCCATGCCAACTCTTTAGGCCCCGACATAACTTCAGTAAGTCGAAGCCGTCAACATCGGACCGCCAGGTCCTGGACTCGCCTGCTGCGTCGACAGGATAAGGGCGCCGTCTCCGGCGCAAACGCGTGACACCAGACTTGTACCTCCAAGCCCACAAGGGCTTAATGTAGGGGCCTTAATAATTAGAATAGGGTTTGGGGGTATATTATACTATTTTTAGAATAGGGAACCCCCCGAAATATTATAGGTGATTAAGACCCCTATATTATGTAGATTCAATCGTCAAAACACACAACCTTGTAAACCCTCTACACCCTAAACCCTGGTCACCGACACACAGCGGTGGCCGTAGATTGAAGGCTGTTAGAGATTTGAACTTCGGCTTGAGCTCGTGCCTCCAAAGAAATTGGCCTGCCACATAGCGACACGAAACACCTCGCGCCTCCGAGATCGAGGTAGGCATCGTCGTGAGCCACTCTCGTCCGCCAGGTCTTGGCACTGCCCACCTGAAGATGAGTAGTCGAAGCAAGGGTCACGAACAGGTCGCAACTAGTCGCTGCTTTTGCTTCGCATGAGAACTGCGCTACGCTCCTCTGACTCTGAATGAATCTGTACCTCCGTCTTCAGGTCCATCACAGCCCTCAAGAGGTTGGCCATGATGGTGACCATGTCAGGACACTGGCTGCCACTTCAACCCACCACCACCACCCTCCTCCACATCACAATTACGACTGCCATCATGCTGTTGAGCGTTCTGCAGCCATCATTATTGACGTCATCACACACCATCAACATCATCAGCATCAGCATCATTATCATCATCATCATCGGAATCCTCGCAGTCATTGGGTCATTGCCATCGTCACCAACTGCATGGCAATCTCTATGGCTAGTGCGGGCATCCCCGTCGTCTGCAGTGTCGTCGTAAGCATCAACACAATCATGAGGACCCCCGACCCTCATCCATGTATTCAGTTAATTCCTGTTGAAAACTACGCACCCTAAAACATGCAATGTCGTGGGCCTTGGTGTCAAAGCTGTCGCCCATAAAGCTGTCGGATAGCAGGACGCCTCCCGTCTTGCGATGTGGCGGGGGGCGGGGGGGAGGGGCGTTAGTTTCAGGCTGCGCCACCTATCCCGACCTGTTCTGCTAGTGTTCCAGGGTTCTTCTGTTGGTTTCGGGGTTGGGGGGTGGGGGTTTGGGGGCGAATGACGTCCAGGTGCCGGATTGATTAAGAATCAAGATGACCTTTGTGGTACGACTTGCGGTGGCGATGTTTGCGGTTTTGTTGCTGGTGATAACCACGATGGTCATGACTCGGCACCGCTAAAGCCAAGCATACAGAAACTTTTGAAATCATGCTCACCATCCTCGCCACCATGGCGATGACCATGATGCTCCTCTTCATTACTGTCACCCATGCAAACATCGGATTCATTATCATAATCTTCCTCATCATCCGAAGCGCCACAAAATAGACCATATTGATTAGCACAATAATCAATATGCAGCATGCGTAACCTCCTAATCTCGATCACCATCACCATCATAATCCAGACACCATCATCATGATGATTTTCACTTCATTACCGTGATAGTTTTCCGGGTACCGTAACGACTAATGATGCTGCTACTTCTTGTCCGCTTCTTGCCCTTCCCCAGAAAATGAAATACTAATACATGTGGTCAAAACGACCTGATGCCATCATAAACCCGAAAAAAACCGTTCCAGCATCAAAGCATGTAAGTGACTGTTGCCTGGACTTGGCGACCCTTTGTGGGTTCACTTCGGCTCCAACCCGAAGTACCTCCACCTGTTTCGAACATTAGCCCGAACACGGCTACCCACGCAGCAATTTCGACTTTCGCTAAGAAGATCTAATCTGAAAGCGCCACAACTGGATCTAGCGTTTTCGACTCACACACTCGCAAAGCAGGCATGGCAAGCTAGATTTGGGGTTCAGCATGCATTTCACAAAACCGCTCCAGAGGTCTGCTACAGTAGGCTTTGGGCCGGGTGGCCTGAGAAAGCAACTTGCATGGTGAAGTTCAGCAGCACCTGACTCCGCGGAGTTATGGGGTCATTTTCAAAGTCCCCAAAAAAAATTTGCTGGACTCAATCAAGTCTAGCCAGTTAAGATGATTGCAGTTCGTGGTCTGGCTAGACTTGTGTCCCTACAACCCCTGTAAACCCTGATCCGTGAGCCATGCCGGTAACTTGGGGCCGAAAAGCAAACGGGCGCAAGGGTTGCAACCTACGATCACGAAGTTATCGGTTTTTGGAAGTCTGGGCACAGGGCCCTCAATGTGTTGGGCTTCTGATACCCCAAAGCCTCAGGAGAGTGCGTGCTTGCTGGTTAGTATTGAACCACTGCTGGATTGTCAGTGCAGGAAAATACCTGCAAAAATACAAGAATGCACATTGTAGGAAGAAGACCCAACTTCGTCTCAGGGTTTAAGGGGATCCAATCGAAACCTCCCAATATATTGACAGAAAGCCAGCATGCCCCACCAAACATCTGTCCGAGGACTGTGGTTGAAAACCCGAACCAGTGGTACCAATGCACCAAGCCCATGCTAGCAAGGGTGCAGGGTTTAGCATGGCCTGGATGATCCTGGATGTCGAGAGCCCCGAAGCCTAAATCGACAGCCGGGGGGGCACCAGCAGCAGCGAACAGATCGCGTCAAACCATCCGACGTCGGCCAAACCAATGACCATCGGAATGCTCCACGCACCTCAAGACGACTTAAGTCAAAGCTTGGAGTTCAACGCTCAGTCCCACGAGGCTCAACACCCTAAGCCCATAAAGTAGACAATATCAAACCCTGCTGCAACTACTTATCTTTCTTTCTTTATTTCTTTCTTTCTTTCTTTCTTTCTTTCTTTCTTTCTTTCTTTCTTTCTCTCTCTCTCTCTCTCGACAGGGCATTGGGGAAACAGCGGTCCAGCTGCTCGCACTTCCTTCCTTCCTTCTTTCCGTCCTTAAGGGACAGGTCTGCGCCCTCTCCCTCTCCCTCTCTCTCTCCGTCTCTCTGTCTCTACGTCTCTCTTTCTCTCGCTCTCTCTCAGGCGCAAGGAACGACTCCGGCCCCCCGAGCACTGGGCCCGCATGTAAACGTTTGAAGGGACGTGAGAAAGACAACACTGGGCACACCTTGACGGCTGATGCCTGAAGAATAACATATTTTGATTTCTCTCTCTCTCTCTCTCACCTTCTATCGCACACAGACTTTAGCTGCGTCCTTACTGACTGGTTCAAAGGCCTTCTGCATCCAGGCCTCGAAAAATCGCATACTGCAGACGAGGGAACTTTCTTCGAAACGGACCGGCGTCGACTTCTCTTCCAGCCTGGATGTCTGAGTAAGCACGTCGTTATCAATGGCCTGGTCATGCGGCATCTGCATCCAGGTTTTCTTCAAAGTGCTGGGGGTATCCTCATCATGGCAGAGATTGTTCTCCCCGCCCCTCGGAGGTACGGACATTCCCAGATATGTCTCCACTGCCTGCAGCCGCGCGAGAATGGCCTGGACCTCTGACTGGAACTGATCCCGAAGTACAGCCAAACCATCAGCTTCGGGACCGGCCGGCGGAACATCAATCAGGATGCTTTTGATGACTTCGCTGGACGCCTGGCTTGTCACGTCATCCGGATTCCAGTTCCCATCCGCATCGTTTGATGGGATGGATGGTGTCGGCATGGCTCGAACAAACCGCAATTCAAGACGGCATCTCCAATGGCCCTTGATCTATGCATAACCTGCTCGTACTGAAATTCCCGTCGATTGCACTGTGCATAAGCTGCCTTGCGAGTACGTGGCTCTGGCGCACGGCCCGATACCTAAATACAGATCTTCAGATCACGTAATTAATTCCTTTCCTTCGGGCGATCTTCACTTCTGTGCGAAACACATCTTATCGCAAAACCAAAGTCAGTCAAGAAAGCATGAGAGGCGCCAAGCGAAGTGCAAGCTCAGCCGCATGGCCCCTATATTGTACACATTTGCACATCTATCTGGGTCACGCTGTTTCGACTCGCCGTCTGTGTAGGTCTTAGAGGGTTTACGCCTGCCTCAGCGCAGTTGATTCTCAAGTGCGGCTCTGCAGGCTGCTATCAACATACTATCAACCTGCTGCTAGGTTTGTGTCAATGATATACACGATACCAAGCATGATCAACAAAGCAGCACTTAACGTAGGAATATGCCCGGGTAGCAACAGCAACAGACAGAGAAACAGCAGCTGGCATAGATCATACGTGCAGTTAAACTTCTGACGAGACTTGCTCGCATCAAGCTGACGCATTGCTATTCGGAATGCGGCAGCGGGGAGGGCAAAGAGGTGAAACCTGCGACGGATTGTCGCAGCCGCATGTCTGTGGACATATGGAAGCCAAAGACCGGACCAAATCCGGGGTGCCTTCGCACCAGAATGTGCCAGTCAGGAAGTCTCGTGGAAATTGCGCCAAAACTGGGCATCCACCGGCCCCCAAGGCCTGCAGGGTTTGGTTCACCTGGCTGAAGGCCTGCGTCGCCTCCACTGGCTGGCCAAAGTAGCTGGACAATACAGTCGCATAGCTAGACCAGAACGTGCGCCATGCATCATCGACAGGCAGATCCTGGCAGGAACGGTTCTGCAACTTCGGCTGCCTGCGTTCCAGGCAAGATACAGAACAACCCTGGGCTTGAACTTTGTACCATGCCGAACTGAAGGGATCTGTGCAACCGCATGTGTCACCGCACACCAGCCGCAACAGGCGGCCGTCTGCATCGTCACAGTGGGCTCGCAGCTCTTGGCAACTTTGCACGCCCGCACGTCCCACAGCAGCTGCGGCAGAATTCAGGACCATGGTAGCCAAGGGTCGCAGTGTCATGTCGGTATGGAAATTCCCATTCTCGTTGAGAACGTCGAGCTCGAGGCAAAGGGGATACTGCGAAGCCTCGTCTTCCATACTGCGCGAGACCTCTTGCTGAAACAAGCCTTTGGTGGCAGCAAACCGTATGAATTCCGGATATGTCCCAGGAGGCGCACCCTTGAAAGACTGCACGGCAGATTCACTAATCGACAGGTTTCGTGCATCGCTTGTCTCGGCAGTGTACAGTCCAATGACGAGTTGTGTTTCAGCATTGTAAGAAACCACAAATGTTTGCAGGCCTCCACAGAGTTCCATTTTCACAGCAAGCATGGTATCACTCAAGGGCACCAGCAGCAGGAAGTAGGATGCACAGATAAGTGCCAAGAGAGAACTGAAATGAACAAAGGCCTCCAGCTGACTGCGACAGCGACTGTACTTGATCCGAATCGGACTCAGGTTCTGTATGGCGTGCTGAATCTTGATCGGTGTCATACCTGCAAAGACAAACTCGTCAATGTCCAAGATGGAATTGAGAGCAACTGCGTTCAACATCAGTTCTTCGATGGACGTGGTTCGAGCCAGCCAAAGAACACCACCGCCCAGTAGAACAGAAGCAATGCCAACCCGCAGAAGGTATGTGGTCAGGAGCATGCAGAACCGAAACCATGAGATGCTGCCGAAGGAGTTGTCAAGGAAAGCTGTTCTGCGAGATTTTGCAACAGAACAGGTAGCCTCAAACTGCAGCCATATCCGGCGCAACTCCTGTGTGCAAACAGACGCAGCACCTCTGAACTTTACATTGGCTCTATAGACAAGCCCCTCCCAGAATCCGACTGATATGGTGAAACAGCATAAACTACAAACACCCACGCGCACAACTTCCGCGTGCCAAGTTCATATTACACCGCCAGGGTCATGATGGTGATCATCACACTAGCCACTCCCCCAAGCTTCCCACAAATCAAGGACGAGGACGAGGACAAGGGGGCCGGACGACGACAACTGAAGCAGCAACAACAACATCATCATCACAAGGCTCTCCTTGTCCCCTCCTAATCAGCACAATCACACACAGTCAGTAACATCTCTCTGTGTCCCTACCGCACTCCGTTGCTCTCCTCCTCACGTCACTCCTTCTCCCCTCCTCTTCCTCCTCCTTGGCATCACCAACTGAGCAGAGCTATCACTCGGAAGGCCTTAATAGAAGCTAAACAGGCGTTCAGGATGCACAACATGAAACAATGAACCACGTGCTCATGCATGCAGTCCTTGTAAACGCATAGGCTCCACTGAATGATGCAAAGCATGCACAGGAGAACACCCGGCTGGAAAAAGGGTGGCTCGAAGTCCAACTCGCTCAGGCCGAGGAAGCTGTTGATGTGCTCCACCAAGGTGGCCTGGTTTGTGGACAGAATCAGCGACTCGTCGCCCGCGCAGACTCTTGACACCAAGCTCCTGTCGGCTAGATCCATATGCTTGTGATCATGTGCAACACTTGTCCGCCAGGTCTTGGCACTATCCATTTGAGCATCGAAGCCCTCACCAATGAAGTCATCCTCGGGTGACAAGTCCCACGAACACCGACCTATAAGTCAACTCCCCATCTTATACCTAAATTTCCAAATATCTGGGAGAGACAAAACCGCTCAATCGGAGCTGGGCGGCTGTTAAGAGAATCCATGAAAAGGCCGCTTGCATGCCCAAGCTCAAGAACACGAGAATGCCAGCAAAGAGCATGTCAAAGCAGCCAACATCGACCAGACCGAAGACCACTGGAATGCTCCAAACACTTTCTTCAAAGTGGACTTCAGAAAACTCCTCCAATTTCTCGTCGTTGCATTTAGACCCGGATTTCCCTGGATCTGTGCACACGACCTGAAGATTGACCTCGTCCAAGCTCGTGGAGTTAGGCTCTGCACCAGATCGCTTCTCCAGCCCCAAGTGTGCCTCCAGACGCTCCAGCCTTTCATGGACGCGAGCCAAGTCAGACTGAAGTTGGTCTTGCAAGAGGGTGTGGATCCTTGCCATGTTGGACTGGAGCTCATCTTGCAGTCGTGAGAACGAGTTGTCCGGCAAGTGCGGCCCAGACGGGGAAGTCATATCTACCAAAACACCGGGTACAGTACCAGCCTCCCTCGCGTCATGCCCATAGCTACAAGGGGAGCAAATAGCAGCCATGCTCGGAGCAGGCGGAACAACGGCCTTCGTCGTCTTTGAAGAACCCCCTGGCTCCTTCCGCACAAGTCTCGAGCCTCTTGGCCGTACGGATATAAGAACAAGCAGATGGATCAATCCTTCGTCCGCTGCTTCGCAGAAGGAAGAATGAAAAGCGCTGCAGTGCCACGTCGTGATATTTATGTGTCGGTGTTGACACCACTGTAGTTACAGACAGCCCTATCTTATTTTGTGCTAAAGAATCATGTCTCTGCCAATGCCGGGAAACAGTAATTCTTGCTCCCAACAGAGAGGCAGAAAATCGGACTGCCACAAGTCTAGGGCTGATGGCCGGGTCCAACTTATACATAAACATTGACGCTTTACCACCCTCTTCCTTCGACGCCATGTTCAACTTTTCCGACCCCGAATCCCCCAGAGTCCATTTTTTACCTGGGGAAGCAGTGTCATCGGGAGGGGTCAGATACCTCGATCTTCTTACGAAGGCATGAACGGCTCAATGTGCGGTCCGATTTAGTAATGCCGGCTGGACTAATGCGATTTTTTTTGCTCATTCCGGACCAGACCCAAAAAATCGGCGGTCCTAATAATGTTTTGTTTTTTTTTGTGGGGGGGGGGGGGTGGTTCTTTTATTAGGGTTCAAGATGATGGCCTGATAGAGCCCCTTCAGTCGACCCCATCTTAGGTGGGGAAGTCCGCACATGCAACCGTCAGATGGCACGTATAGCAAGCAAAAGGCTGGAGCAGCCGCCTGCGAGAAAGACTGTGTGTTCCAAAGCTTGTGCGAGCAATTTCGGCATAGCTTCGTGCTGATGTTATTTGCTGGACATGGCCTGCATCCTGTTCAAGCGCACTGATGTCAACCACGCCAAGACCATCCAGGTGTTTTGGGCGAAGATAAAGTGTGGCCTTCTCAGCAGCATTCCGCGGGAAAAGGTGCAGCGCACCCACGGGGAAACCAAAGGTGGGTACGCCTGTAAGTACTGCAAATGCTTTTGGCGAGCCGGACTCACACGTGCGACATCGGTGGGCGATGACAACAGCAAGGGACCGTTCAGGAAGGATTTCGACAAGGAAGACACCGAACGGTTTTCGTTTGCTTTGTTAGCCACTGGCCTTGTTGTTAAAGACGGAATGCAGAAGGTGTGTGAAGTTGGCGGGCTGGGCGACATGACATCTCACCATCTTTGGTTGGACGACCATGGCATTGTAAAAGGTTTCCTCCCTGCAAGATTTTGTTTCGGCTCCAGGGTACGGAGGGTTTGCAGCTTGGGATTATGGTTTAGGGCTGGACAGCTTTATCAGATGGATTCTTTGCAAGGTGTTGAAGAAATGATCTCAGCTATCTCTTCAAAGCCACCCGGAGGTCCGTTCACCTCGCAAATCCCAATCCACAAACCGAACCTAAAGATGAAAAGCCGCTTGAACCCTAGGACCTCACCCCTAAATATCACAAATCCGCAACCCAAAACCCCTTGAGGATACAAATCCCGAAGCCCCAACCCCTAAACCCTACAAATTCTTAAACCCCAACCCCTAAACCCTACGAATCCCTAAACCCTAACCCCCCCCCCCTAAACCCAAGCAAAGTAAACTTCCGAACCCCCCAAAAACCTTAGGGCAAGCCCAAACCTGCCGAAGTCTAAACCCCAAGCCACCTATTTAGGTGTT